ATTTTAAAAAAATCAGTTTTAATACAGAATTTTATTATTGGGGCCATTTTTACCTACCTGTCATTTGGGGCCATTTTTACTGGGGCCATTTTTTCTGGGGCCATTCTATCCGTACACCATAACATCATGCAGACACCAAATGGACTAAGATAAACCATTGATTTAATATTTCGTTCTTTATTCGAACATTATCAGGAACACAATCATTCCTGATGGGTTTTAGTCTTTTTCGAGTCTGCATGATATTATATTAAGGGCATTTATTTATATTATTTTTGTTGTTGTTTCATATCTGTAGTTATGTTGTGGCAGGAAAAACAAGGTTAGTGCTGAAAACGTTATGCCCTGATCAGATCCACACCCATGCTCTTTCTCTGTATTCTCTTTGGTGTCCTAGTTGAATCAACCAGTCAATTTGTTTTCAAATTCCGGTATTTTTTATTTACTTCCAACATGGCAGAAAATACAAATTATGTTATATAACAATCTTTCAAAAAAAAAAAAAATCCCCCAGCAATGACAAATGACAGGTCAATTATTAATGCCTGTATAAAGGACATCCTTATAATCATAGATATTGTGTTCAAATGAAACAAATAAACCTCATTGAGCTAATTTAGAGGGCTTAGTAAACAAGCTAGGCCCAAAGATGTCGCATCATAGCACAGTATCATTATATCTCGGTAAAGGTTTATGTGGCTTTTGGTTAGTCATTTGTTAAGCAACACGAATCGATGAATGGGATATCACCAAAGAGAGCAATCAAGATGGTTGTTTGGCTAACTTTCTTTGAAGTGGTTTACAACGTCAATCTAAGACGGTTAAGCACACTTGAAAAACACCCAACACCGGTCACTTCAAAGATTTGCCTTTTCTTAAAGGTAGGCCTATTCTTTACCTTTAATACAGTACAATACAAGAGATGGGGAATTACTTGTTATATATTTAGTTTATTTTAAATGGTAGTAAATTGTGTTGCCCTTTCAATACTGAAAATGGCAAGTTCTTTATATTAGATATCACATTTTTATGTGTTGACAAAAAAGAAAATATTTATATCAATCTAAGATGGTTAAGGACACTTGAAAAACACCCAACACTTCAAAGACTGCCTTTTCTTAAAGGTATTCTTTACCTTTAATACAGTACAATACAGGAGATGTGGAATTTCTTGGTATATATTTAGTTTATGGTAGTAAATTTTGGTGCTCTTTCAATACTGAAAATGGCAAGTTTAGGCTATTTTGAATATCTCATTTTTATGTGTTGACAAGAAAGAAAATATTTATATCCATAATTTGGATATGTGCCTGCGAAAAGAAGACAATAAAATGACTCAGGAATGGTGAAGAAAATAATCAGGAACTCTGACCTCTATAATGAACTTAGTGAACTGAAGTCAAGAAAATTGTTGTTCACATCACAAACTAACACAATCAAAGTTAATTGTGTTGGTTCATGAAAACAAAAAAGAGATTCCACATAAGGGCATATTAGTGGTCTAGCGACTTTGTATTCTGTACCACACAAAAAGTTTGTAACATCAGCAGCACATATTTTAACAGGTTTTTTTTGTTTTCTTTTTGTTTTCACAAACTAACACAATTTATCTTTCATTGTGTTCTTTTGTGATGTGGGCGATGAACTCATGCAAGATCCAATACAGTATTAGTGATGGAAGACCAGCATATTCCTCAAGTACCATAACTGTGATATATTGTATATTGTTATTGTTTTCATGAACCAACACAACTCCACTCCCTAAATCTCATATTGAGATTTAGTTTGTGTAAAGCATCGTGTGTGTATGTTTGTCTTGTGTAAGGGATTGTCACCTACAAGTAGGACAGTGATATATTCGCTATTGACAATCCTTGGCACATGTATTGTGTGCCTAAATAAATAAATTTAAAAAAATAAATTTAAAAAAAATATATTTTAAGAATTAGTATAAAAGATGACCGTGATTTAAATCACTATGTATATGATAGATGATGACAGTTTTAAATTTTAATTATAACTATGATGATGTTGATTAATCAGTGACAATAAAAAAGATGACAGTGAGTTTGATGATGAAAATGATGGTAATTTAAATACACATTATAATAGAGAAAGCATTATTCTGTTTCATGATTAAATTTTAAAATTTGAAATGAGAATCAAACAGTGTCATTTAAATAAATCAATTTTAATTTTATTTATCTCTGAAAATATTTTTTTTTATTTTATTTTATCAAGTATAAGAGTGATAAGTAATAAAAGGTTATTTTAATTAAATCCATTATGGCTATTGAAGCCCAAGATTAAAAAGACAATAATGTTTAACATTAACTTGATAAGGTTAAGAAAGATTGGACATGGTATATCATCTACAAATATAATCTATCACTGATAATATAGCAAAGAAGGTCCCTAGTGTAAATATGTTTTGTTATTTTTTAGTGAGATAATATTAATAATGATAAGTTAAAGGAAGCATTCTGTTGCTGTGATGTTGGGCTGATTAGCTACACGAAAAAAGATAAGTTTGGTGAAATTCGGAGATACCAATACGTTTGAGGGCCTGCAATCTCTCTGTTTATCACTAATAATGGGCACACTGTGTAGATACCAATCTTTATATTATTATACTTCAATTTTAAACTTGAAAAATGGCAGACCAGAAATCAGGATTCATTTTTTTTTTATAAGGGCCAGAGGTGAAGGGGAAAAGCTTTTGTGGGGGTCAGGGGGATGAAGTCTCTGGGGTTGAAGTCATCTGGAGAGAAGCAATTTTTAGCATACAAATCATTATCATTGGTATTATTTAATGCCAAGCGGAGGGCTTAGTTTGGTATCAGAATTTGGTTCGCTTGAAAAAGAAGGTTGAACCACAGAAGCTCTCCTTGTTACGTGCCTGGTATTAGGTGGAGCAGTGCACAACAGACCTGTAAAACAGGTCAAAAACAACACCATTTGCTCAGTCTCATTATACTGATGATAACTTTTAATTAATCGGCAAAACAACAGGCAATCATGTCTTCTTCCAAAAACTTCAAGTAGAAATATAATATTTGTTTTTTTTTTATTTGGCCTTATTGAATATGGCTCGCACACTTACATTTAAAACTCTGTTCAATTTGACTGTATTCTAATTATTTAATTTTAGGCCTATTAAAGTGGTGTTTCTTTGGGAAGTGGGGCTTTAAAAATAGGAATAACATGTTCAGAATGCTACGAGAAGTAATGGAAATTCGTTATCGCACCCACACTATGCATCGCAATACAAAATCCTTATTATTAATGCTATCTTAATTTTTTAATTGCTAAATGTATATGGTTATTTTTTGCAACCAAAGGTAAACACGTTTTTTGCCAATGCGACACAGGAACATGTCGTTTGTGTCTTGCATCAGACTAGAGACAGACTAGTAGTAGCACTACTCCGAGGCAGCGTGTGAACTTTTTGAAAGAAACAACTTTCACCTGCACTCACCTTCTAACCTTGGTTTCTGTTCGGTATCCGTCATTGTTGTCTGCTATTAAAGGGAAGCCCCAAGAGCACACAGGTCATTCCCAAGATCTTTGGACTTTTAATTTCTACCGCTAAAATTAACCTGTAAAGTAATTCGAGAAGTGCCCAGCAGAGCGTGATGAATAGGCCTACTGAAGTTATCATGGGCGTTAGTCAAAAGGAAAAGTAAATACTTTAGCAAACATCACATGATCATAGAGGGCGCTCTTACAATTTTAAGTTTATGCTATTTACCTGTTTTGTCTATTAGAGAGTTGACTAGTTTCGCCATCGAATAAAACGAACGTTAATCAAATAATCTTGTGTATCCTATAAAAACAAAATCAACTACAGTATTAACATTCGTGAGAGGTTTCATTTAGGTATATATTGTCATTACATGCTGTCATTCTAAATTTATTATTCAAGCTTTACCAATCCTCTGATTATCTCATACAAATGTTGTCTTAGTGGAAAGGGAGACAATTATATGTTCTCTCTTGGGTTTATAGCACAGGTGGGCAAAGATTGTTTTTGCCCCCCGCGAATATAAATTAAAAACCATACGTGTGTATGCCGCCAGCCAAGCAAAAATTGGCTAGAAAACACGGATAAAAATGCTACAAATTTTTTAAAGGCCCCAATGGATAAGTTTTATATATTGTAAAACTTTCTTGGGTTACCCTAGGAATTAATGTCTTATCTTGTTCTTTATCATTTTTCTGTTCTTTGTAGGCCCTATTTGTTTTATTTTCAAGTAATCTATGATTTTAATTCCTGAATAAAATGAAATATATGGGTGGGGGATCCAACCGGGCCGGTTGGCCGGATCCCCCACCTTGAATCCGCCACTGAATCCGTCCCTGGATGTTTCAGTGAAGAAATTGGCGTTCATGTTGATTCATTAACCCGCTTTTTCCTTACAGCAGGGGTGGGCATAAAAATCGGTCGGAGCCTGAGGGCCAAAGTGAATTTTTGATTTAACACCGAGGGCCGCACCCAAACCTTGATGGTTCCAGTGAACTTCTAAAAACCTCCAAGCACTGCTTTTACACAACTTTATTTTCTGTTTTAATGTTATTTTTTACATATAATCGGTGTCGGGCCATTAAAAACAAGGTGTTTTCTAGTCAATGTTGCTTGGCGGGCCGCACACATAGGGTTTTTAATTCATCTTCGCGAAACCGCTGTCGGGCGGCGCGGCGCATGCGGCCCGCGGGCCGCAATATGCCTACCTACCTGAGTGCCTCTTACAGCATAATGTTTGCTGCAATACGGTAGTATTCCAAGTGGGTCGATTATTTGCCAGGTACAGCAGATCTTCAATGCTTTCTTTTTTTTTAATTTTTTAAATTTCATTTTCAAAAACACACATTGAAACACAAAGAAATTAATACAAAAATTAAATCACAAATTCAAAATTGTTTCCCTAATAAGGACTAATTATTAATTATGACAAGAGTGAAAATCCTCGGTCAAAAATTGAGTAACTTTTCTTTCCCATTACTTTAAATGCAGCTCATATTTATTATTATTTCTGGCAAAGATAGCCTCGATCTTTTCTGTATAGTTTAATACATAAATGCTCTGGGTTACTGTTGGTTTATAGGCCTAGATATTGAGACCCACGTGTATCGTGTGGATGAGACGAAATACAGTAAATTGTAAAATACAGCACTGTAAAGTGTACTGAAACAAATATGTCAGAGCGCCCCCAGTGGTTAAAACGAATAAAGGAAATGCTTAAAGCAGGGTGCTCTCAACTGAATCCTCCCTTTTGGACGCGTAATGGCGCTGGTGGTAGGTGGTGTGTACCTTATTCAGTACTACACTAGGTTTAGGCCTAAAATATTGTATGAAAGAATGGATTTTTCCTATTCTCTTAAATTGTAGCCTTCTTTACAGGTGCCAACATGCACAGTATTTTGATCCTGTTGTGTGTACATGTGCTTTACAACAGGAAGTATAAAACATTGTTCCCCACACAACAAGCAAGGACTCAACGCAACTACGCAGACGCAATGTTAGAGGCAAAGCTAGCCTTCTTTGGGACACCCCTATTCACTCAGTGGACACGTCTATTTAATGGGACACTTTTCTTGGTCCCGAAGGTAATCCCTTAATAACAGGGGTTCTACTGTAATGTATTTGCACACGTTCCAACCCCTACCCCTAGACCTAAAAAAATCGGGAGGCGCAGGTGAAGGGTGCCCCCATTTCCCACCAATTAGTACAGCCAATGGACGTCGATGTGAAGCCAAAATACAAAGATGCGTCAGCACAGTATTATTCAGCACAGCCTTTGAACCACGACCACTGGTATGTCCAAAATTTTCGGGATAAATGTATGCAAACACCAAGTGTACCTTCCATAGACACCCATGACATGAATGATAAGCAGTTCAAATTCTTTACTGGGCTATCATCTACCACATTTTGGGTTTTACTGTCATCGATTATGTGTGGACCACAACTTCCATCACATTCTCTACTAGTGGCTGAACAGTTTTTAATGGTATTAATGAGACTCTGTTTAGGTCTGTTGCTACCAAATTTAGGTTATAGGTTTAAAATATTAACATCGACAGCAAGCAAAATATTTAGCAGGTGGACAATATTATTAGGACAATATTCAAAGAACCTTGTCCACTGGATACCGAGCTACGGCCTAAATAGGATACGTCCAAAATGTTTTGTGGAAAACTACTCTAAAGTTACATGCATAATTGATTGCACAGAAATATTTGTACAACAAAGATTTAATGCAACGAGTGCAAACATATTCAAATTACAAATCACATAATACATACAAAGCCCTTTATTGTATTGCTTGCACCCAATGGGTTTGTTACGTTTGTAATGGTCGATAGAGGGTTTACCATCGAAGACCATTCATGATCAAACTGAACATCAACTATTACATTGTCAATTTCGCTCCAAACAAAAAATTTACATTTTGATGCTCTGGCACAAAACATGCCAACCTGTACTTGATAGTAATAACCACTTGCTGCTGCAGTTTGCTTTAGTTCATACATCCCATTTATCATTTTAACTTTCCATTTACCCCCCTGTATTACCCCTTTGACAGTACCACCAAACTTGTCCAACTTTTCCTTAGTTAATTTTATTTCTAATATTGTTTCATCATCGATAATGCCATCCAAACTGGCACCTAAACAACTGGTTTCTGGCCAACAAAAAAAGTCCTGTTTTGTAGAAACCTTGCAGTTAGTTAAATCTTTGAAGCATTGTCTCGCTATTGGTTCAAATTTTGAACCATACCGCGTACTGTAGCTTTGTTACCATGAAAGCACGGCTGCATATGGTCTTGTATCCAACGCGACACATCAGTTGTCTCCTTTTTTGGTACAGAGCCTGCCGTACTCCCAGTTATCCTTAATTTGCGTTGTGAGGTCCACAAAGCCGAGTCCTGTTGTGCTGTTTCAACAGCTAACCGTGATGCTGGACTATCGTTCAACAAAACATATTCAGTATATCTTTTGACAAGCCCTGCAGCGTAGCTCATTAGAAGAATGATCATCATGGTTGATTGTTTTACTTCTGGAGTGTTCAGGATTAACAGTGTGGTTCAATAATAAACCTGGAATGTTGCTTAGTTCTTTCATAACGTTGCTGGTATGATGTTTTTTCATGTCCTCATCGGTTTTGAACTTAAGAAAGTTGGATGATAAGCATAGCCTCTTTTCGCCGCTTCTGATATTTTCCACCGAATCAGGTACAACATTCCTCTTTGTTCCTCGATTCCATACCATTGCCATGTCAGTACAAACTTTGCCAATTAAGCCTTGTTTGTTAGCTTCAAAGATTTTGAAGACTATAGCCAGCAGTATGACTGCAACACTTGCCTCTTGCAGCAATACATTCACAGTCCACATCAATAATTTGATTGTCATCTTTATTAACTGTAATCTGGACATCATGTTCCCTTCCGATAATGTGTGAGTAACAGACTTTGGCCTTAAGATCAATGATCCTGCACTGTATAGATTTGTACTTGTGGAACACTGTCAATCCAGTTAGAGTTGAAGTAATTTTGTCCTTCAAGAATGCTTCTGTAGTTATGATTTGGCTGACCATCACATGCAGGGGCATAAACAAAATAATCTGTTATGTCTGAAAATAAATGCAAAAAAAGAAAGTTACTATATTGCATTAAAATAAGTAAATAAAAATAAATAAGGGTTTGGTCTGGAAGGTATCCCCATAATAGGGGCTCTACTGTAATGTATTTAGGTCTGGGACATTAGCATTTTAAAGGACCCTCAAATTCACAATTTGTAGGCGTGGGAGTATATCGGTAAGTATTCTCTGAGGAATACATAGGCCTAGTTGTATTAGCTGCTGAAGATGCAGATGCGATGAATTGAGGCAAAGCTAGCCTTCTTTGGGACACACCTATTCACTCAGTGAATACCTCTATTTAATGGGACACTTTATTGGTCCAGAAGGTATCCCCTTAATAGGGGCTCTACTGTAATGTATTTAGGTCTGAGACAATAACATTTTAATGAACCCGCAAATTCAAAATTTGTAGGCGTGGGAGTATCGGCAAGTACTCTCTGAGAAAAATATACCATAGCCGTATTAGCTGCAGGAGGTGTTACGGAGAAAAAGGTGGGATTAGTTTAGGGGTGATTGTAGACACGTTATTCCCGGAGTTGATACTTATTGTAGTGATGATGGGAGAATGTAACCCAGGACTCCGGGTAGGTCTTCAATAAACCAGAATGATGAGTCCTTCCTTATTTTCCGATACACAAAAGAATACATTGCAAGTTAATGCTGTGAGGTCTAGACTCAATTTTTCTTTAGTGGGCAAACATCACACCTTGTACTGACTTTCACAGATTCTGGCATGTGTACACCAACATTTTGTAGTCAAATGTCATGTTGTTTAATGCGCCCAGAATTGGCACGTTTCTGCGTTAACCATTTATTGAGTGCTCAAAATAAGCATTAATACATATTATTAACAAGCCCTTAAGATCCAGTACCACCATTTTATAGATTTTCTATACACCCTCCTGTGATATCAGCTTTATCCTAATAAAGGAGTTGTAGTCTGACGCTACAGTTGGACAGGGAACAATTTGAGATTCGTATTTTATTTCTTTTCAAAATGGTGGTTTCCCTGCCATGGTACAGTAGTTAGAGATAAAAAGCATTAACTTTTTATCCATCCATCTGAATACATTGATTACTTTTTCAGTTATTTTAGGCTGGTGGTCTCCCCTATTATTTAATTTGCAAATAAATATATTTATTTTTTAGCCTTGCAACTGCAATGGCTCTCTTCTCTTCAAAATCTTCTGTAGATGCATCAAGGAATTTCACATTCTGCTGCTGGTAGTTAGGATTAACTGGTCTGGTAGCTGATGTTCCTATCTTGGGCAGTCTTTTAAAAAAGACACTGTTATATTGTTGATGTCTGTATTTCTGATATTCAAAGTGCTGCATAGACTATGTTCATCTTTTGAGCTTATGGCCAAATTTTATAATCTCTCTTTGCATACTCAACTTCTTTCTATATAATGCAATCATCATTGTCTGAGGGCTTCTACTAAAATAACAAAAAGTCTTCTAATTCAATGAAAGTCTGGTAGTGAAGGATATGTTCTTATGAAGTGTTCTCGGGAAGCATTCTTCCACGGTCTCCTCCCAGCCATTCCTCTCAAGTGTAAATAAATGACCTGGTGCAGGCGTTGTGAGTAATAGGACACTCGGCATATCTAGGAATGAACTTGCAGTAATGCCCAGTTGAACTTAAAATGCCTGTACATTACATTTAGAAATGGGCCTTGGGAAGTCTTTAACAGCTTCAGTGACCCACTACTGTACCAATTTTGTGTCCAAAATACGACACTTGGATTGCCAATATGACATTTAACTGGCTTTGCCATGCCTCACCAATCTTATCTAGGTGGGTGAGTTATGTGGTTTTCACATGCAGCAATAAATATCCCAATATCGCCAGTGTATGCTCGTGAAAATGTATCACATCCACGTTAAACAAAGATTGTATTTTTCTCTTTAAATAGAGAAAACACCTGCAAATGAGCAGAACGTAATCTTGAGTTAGCATTAATTGGTAGATTTTTCAGCCGCAACACCTCGATCCATTTAGATATACTTTTTCTCCATGGATAACAGTAGTCGATGGTATGTAACATGAATGTCCCAATCTGATCTGTTCACCGCACTGCATTGAACAATCGCTTTGGCATTGTCCATCAAATACTTAACGTATGCAAACATAAGTCATTGTTCATTTATATTAAAGGTGTTAAACATCAGAATAACTTCGGAATGATAAAAAAGTTGATTACAATAGAATGATAATTCGTCTTTCCGCTCAGCAATTGTATTTGAATATAGCGGTAAATTCATAATTTTCATGTGTTTCTTGTAGTTATACATTAGATGAGGACATCACATTTGAAATATATAATATATATTTCTGTAGTCAGTTTGTTGTAACATCAGAACCAGAATGTCAGTAATGACATGATGACTGGTAACCTGAAGAATTTGCAACTCACCTAAAATCTCAGTGTTTCAAAGTTTATGTATTTTTTATGCTAATTGCCATCAAACAAAAGTGAACTGCTGTGGTCTCCATCTTCGTTTTTATTAATGCCATCTTTATTAATGTAGTAATTTTAGCTAACCTCATTTTTGAGTTCAAACACATAGAGTTTCTGCTTTTGTTTTTTGTCACCTTTGATTACAAAATGATTTATACATGCTCTAAAAATTCAAAGTTTTCTTCAAGTATATTTTATTTCTGACAACCTATAACAAAAAGCAAAATGACATGAACATGCGAAAGTAATGGATTTATGGATGGAAATTGAAAAACCAAATTAGAGATCACTGAAGCATCAACATTTCTGTTACCATATTAATTCTGTTTGTCAGTTGCTGTATATTAATAAATGAACCAGTTTATTGTGGAATTTCCAGACATTGCCAGGTGACCATAGGTGATATGAGAATAGGACTGTATATTCAATCAAAGCTGACCTGCACATTCTGTGATGTTGATGGTAGAGCTACACTCGTTTAATCCTCATTATCACTGATACAGTATTTGAAATGATGAAGTAAAATCCTGCCAACATAACTCATTTGTTTGAACTTTTTCCAAGTTCCTGTAAAATATAATGTTGGACATGAATGCAGTAATACAAATTTTTATCAGACATTTGACTACTTGAAGTAGTGAAGTAGGACACAAGATTGGTTCATTATTTACTGAGAACACAAGTATAAGCAACACATTTGACCACTTGATGTTGTGATATGCCATAGGATATTGAATCGTCAAAGCATTCCATACAAATATCACCAGTCATAATTGATCACTTGATGTTGTACTGGACCATGGCCAAAAGACTTTATACAACTATCAGACATATTTGACTAGTAGCTGTAATGATAAATCAGATTGGACTATCTGTGCAGAGCTTGATACAAGCATATTAGTGGCAGACATATTTGATAGAATGCCACAGCAACTTATACCATGGCAAGAGAGTAACAGAGATATTTGACCACTTGATGTGATAAAATGGCGCAGTGGATTTGACCATTATTTACCAAAGAACTTCATACAAGCATGATTATCAGCCATAATTGTCCTCTTAATAAAATATCAGAAAATTGAACCAAAGGAAACAGTAAAACTATGGCCAGAGACATGATAGGATGAAATGGTACAGCAGACTACACCATGCCGCAGGACTATAAATATCAGAAGACAGTTTTTTCCAATTGCATAATAACATAGCACATCAGGTTGCACAGTGGCCAGAAAACTTTATGCAGGTATTATCAGACAAATACCATCAGCAATGATAGACTGACTACAACAACAATAAGTTGTCCACTTTGGTTGAAAAGTTAAAATCATCCTCTTGATTCAATTGATGTGCTGGCTGTCAAGAAATTTAGACATGATAAGCATACAATAACAACATGTTAAAGTCCATTTAACTAATTATAATGTTCATGTGATATTTAGGATGATCCTGAATTCATCATCATATGCATTTTACATACAAATATCTTGAGCATTCCAACCTGCAATTGGCAAACTGTCACATATAAATTCATATATGGACATGCCTATTAAGAATAACAATTTTAAATAAATATATTATGGAGAGTAAATTTTGTCAATATTTTTCAAAATTTTAAGGTAAAATACAACAAAACATGAAGGTAATTAAAAGAAAACCAAATCTATTGACAAATTGTAACTTAACTGAATTCCTATGGATTTTTTTTTATAGTACTTGAAAGATCAAAAACCAATTTTACTCGATATTATTTTGTTATTTATTATTCTAAACCCAAAGTTCAATTGCCATAGTGGTAAATTACTAACCAGCCACAGCAGTTCTTAATTGTTTTTGGCATTCTTGATCTAACCTTGTTCTTGATTAGCTGTTCATACAGCATATCTTTTTCTTTGTCTTGTCTGTAATGAAAATTATCGTGTTGGACCTTGGTGATTAGTCTTGTTATATATAAGTTGTGGCCTAGCTTCTGAACATTTCTTGTTTGCCGATATTTGTTCTTATGTATTTAAATAATACAGGTAATCAAATTAAAAAAGCTTACAGGTTGTGACGGAGAAGGCACTGTCACCATAAAAAGGTGGAAACAATGTACTCCATTTGGAATGCAAGAGTACTGTACTGACAATTACGATAGTATTCTAACCTTCTTTTGCCAATTACGCCACCTCTCTTTCCTCTAGTAGAGGACGCTGGCACCATTCTTGAAACGTGAAAGCCGATTCAAGTGTTCAAATTTCATAAATACTTGGCAAGTCCCTATGTAATTTTGTAATAGCTTTTGTTCTTATGGTTGAATTTTCAGTTTGGCTTAATTTACAGTACTGTATTTGATGATGGTAAATTTTGGTCATTTAAGTTTTAAGTCATCCATCAGCCTGTTCTTTTATTCTGTATCATCACTTATGATACAGAAATCATCTCTTGACAGGAAATTGGCCCTGATAAAGTGTACACTTTTCAAAGCATTTTCTTGGCCATCTTTTTGACCATTCCAGTCTCATAAAAAAGTATAAAGTTTCAGGGTTTGCTCAATCTCCAATATTTGATGATAGTAAAGTTTGGTCGTGTTGTCACTTATGATTTAGAAATCATCTCTGAGACAGGAAATTGGCCCTCATAAAGTGTATGCACTTGTTCTTTTTATACTGATATAGGTAGTTTTCTGCTCAGTCTTATGAAAAAGTAAAATTTTTCATGTTAGCTTTAATCTCCAGTATTTGATGATAGTAAACTTCGGTCATCTTTGTTTCAAGTCGTACATCAGCTTCTTCTTTTATTGTGTATGGTGACTTATGATATAGAAATCATCTCTTTGACAGAAAATGGCCCTGATAAAGTGTATACACTTATAAAAGCATGGAATGCTCCATATTAAATTTTCTGGGCCATCTGTTCCACTAATGACGATTCCTCCCATCTTGTCAAGTTATTGTATGTAATGACACTTCTATTAGTTCAAACTATTGTCTGTTAATTGTCAACAAATAGCTCAGATGCATCCAAATCTTCCAATCTCATACACACTTCTTTTCTGCCCAGTGGCTGTTTGCATGTAATGTCTGAGGAGTAGCAAGAGGTGGATGACGTGTATCTGCTTTATAGTTTTCTTGTACAAAATGTATAAACGTCGTGATGGTGGAGTCAAGCTATTGTTGTTTTAAGTCGTCCATCAGTTTGTTCTTTCATTCTGCATCATCACTTATGATATAAAAATCATATGAATTGCCCTTCAAAACTTTTGAATCTCCATCTTTTTATGATTGTGCAATCTTGTATGGTTGTATCAAGTTGCATTCAGCTTGTTCTTTCATTTTGTGTTATCACTGATGACATAAAAGTCATAATTCTTCAAGTCCCAAATGATGTATCTGATGATTGCGAAAGTCCATCAGCTGCTTCTTTTATTCTGCATCAACATCTGCTATATAAAAATCATAAGTATTGCATTTCAGAAGGGTTCGTTCAATCTCCATCTTTTCATGATGGTGCACTTTGGTTGTTCTTCCATTTTGTGTTATCACTAATGACATAAAAGTCATATACCTGCAAGTCCCTAATATCGTGCCATCACAACTTTAACAGTTTGTAAACACTACAGATTGATTTTGACATTTCAACAAAAGTGTTGAGAATGTGAAAATGTTTGAGTTTTGGGAACTTGTTGAGTTTTATTGTAATATTGCTGTACATTTTCTTTGTTTGGCCTGGTCAGAAACAGCATTCTAACCGTGTTGTTAGCACATAGTGTTACAGTGTTAATTTGCTGCATGACAATTCTTTAAGAATAAAAAAAACAAGGTTTGCACCTTACAAGTAGACATTAGGGGATGCATAACAATATCTTGAATTTCTGGAATCTGTAACCAATTTACCATCTATGTACTTAAATCGTACATGCCATTGGCATATCAGTTTCTGTTTAATTTATGCATCCAACAAGATATTTAACACATTTTTTTGTGTTAAAAAGTTCCCTAGCAAAGTAACACCTTCTACTGAGCTTTTGCTTCCTTTCATTTTTAATTTTTCTGAAATTTACCTTCATACTGTATTTTGTCACTGGATTGTTACTCCTCGACCGAGCATGACATTGCATTGTAGTGTTGCAGCCATGATATGTTGAAGGACAATTCTTTTGGTAGGGTGCAAACAGTGTTTTCACCCTACCAGTAATCATCAAGGAATACGTGACAATATCTTGAAATTCTGCAATCTGAACTTGTTTTGGTGGATGCAATTTATGCATCCAACACAACAATTAACACATTTTCTTAAAATGTTCCCTAGCAAACTAACCCCTTCCACTAAGCTTTCCCTTCCTTTCATTTTCAGTTTTTCTACAAATGTACTTTGTCACTGTATTGTTACCTCCTTAACCAGGCATGACATTACTTTGCATTGTAATGTAGTCTATGTTTGAAAGTACATTAAATAAAAAAGAATTAAATAAGTGCTGACATCTTTGTGGTATCTAAACAGCCAGTAAAGTATGTTGTGTACAATTTCTGGATTCCCGGCCTCTTTAGTTTTTTTATGAAGTTCAGGTTTGTTCCATTTCCATTTCTACAAGATGTTGCACTATGGTCTTCATTTCTAGTCTCAGTCAGCTTAACTTCCATTTTGTGTCATCACTTATGACATAAAAATCATATTTCTGAAGATTTTCACAATTCAACAAGTGTTGTGAAAGTTGAGAATGTTGCTCTAAATTACTACAGCTTGGTCAGAAACATCCTTCTAACCGTGTTGTTGCCTCTATGATGTGCTGCTGAAAGAGATTTCTAAGCAACCGAAAAAAGGTAAGTTCCCTAGCTATGACCTCCAGTTATATATGTGTGGTTCTGATTGTCAAGACAGAGAATTGATTTACACGCGTACACCTTGATGAGGGTTGATAGGGTTTATTCACCAAAATGATATGTTTGAACTGAAAATAAGATTATAAAATTCATAAAGAAACTCACTGAACTGTAATACTAAATAGTTAAAATGTAATATTGTAAATTAGTGGAATGAGGTATTGTTAACTAATTAAATTTCATGTAGAAAGTAAACTATAAACACACTGTAGAACTCAAATAAACAGAATAATCCATAAACTATAATTACTTAATCACTAAATTACCAAATTATCGTTAACAAAGCACATACACATGATGCAGTCAAACTATTAAACTACTGTATTACACGGTACTTGTTGTACAGCATAAAGGCCTATATTATTTATATCATAAGATATTTCATAACAAATTAAATCTAATCAAACCTAAAATATAACATAAAATAAAGTTAAACTTACATTTGTATCCTCTTCAGAACCGTTGAGTGAATACAGTTAAAATTGATATTATAATAAACAGTACAGTAGTTGAAACAGAAGTTGAATTGGTGAGTTGAATGTATAGTGACTAGATTAAGAAAAATGCAAAGCCAAACCCTGTCATAGGGGCAAGATATAAAAGACAATTAGGCTCTCTGATTGGTCAGTACTAATTAGTGTGCCTGGTCTTATATTACTTTACCATATTGAGCAGGCCCTACTGGTAGTGGACAGGGCTAGTAGAAGAAGTTCACTCTATACTAACAGGGTAGAGGATTAATTTCACTAGTTTAAACCTTACACTAGCAAACTAACCTATCCTACTGAGCTTTCCCTTTCCCAATTCACAAGCCATAAATATTTCCTCGTATAGCAAATATAAAGAAGACTTTGAAACATTTTGTCCACTGCTTGTAGAACTGTAGGACTTGGCACCTAATGGTGTGGCGTTCAACCACAACAAATACCTGCTCCGGATCTTCTGTAAAGGCCAATGCCAGTATGAATGGCTGACTGAGTGTGTTTCTCACACCACAATGTTTGTTCCAATCTTTAATAAATGAAAAAAATTAGTCAGAGCGCTATTTCCCAGCAGTGTGTTTAATCCAGTGACTGGTAGAACTATTGTTGAGCACATAAAGGTCTCTACAATATGTGCTTATGTATATGTTTACAATTTTATTATTATTATTAACTTCTGCTTACTAAGTTCATGCAAATATTTCAATAGGTTTTCTTTCAACATTACTCAGAATATAATGTTGTTGTTGAGGGATGAAAAAATTGCCTGTTATTTGCATCGTTGGCTACTTCAACCTATCAGCGCTAACGGCAAGTTCAAAGTAGTGAATAACTTGGCTCTCCTCATAGCATCCAGTGCCTCGTCGATGATGGGTAATGGAAATGGATCTATGGCTGTATTGTATACAACAATTGACAGCTAGAAACAATTCTAGAACATGTGGATGATGTCCAATAATGGTTATAACAGCTAGCAACTAGAAACAACTCAAGAACATGTAGATGAACATGTGGATGAATTCCTTTTATGGTGAGTTTACCAACCTTTAATGAGCTTTCCAAAGGAGCATGCTCCTATTTAGTGAAATTATTGTTTTTTTTTTCTATTTGTTGTTTATTTATTAAGTTTGAGAGTGTTGTCAAAAAAATTAAATTTTGTGCAAAAGTTATTGAGTACTTCCGACATATCCACATTGGATTAACGTTGACCTAGGTGAATTGTACCATTGTTTGCACATGTATATGAATACACATTAGAATTTAAGATGGTATGGTTTTGTGCATTTATGGTCAGTCTAATCGTCTATACATTCTGTGAAAATGTTCACCAATATGTACGGTGCTGGCACATGCTTTAGTAAAGTTTACACAAGTTTGTATTGGATTTATCTGTTTTGGGGGGGAAAAATGGTCTTCCTGGCCAGTATTCACTTGTTCAAACTTATGTAAACAAGCATGATTTTGGTAATTTGACCAAAGAGAGCGATAGGCAGACTGTTTTCACTGGATTGTTTTTTGGTCAGACCGTCAGAGTGACCAGGCACATGGTTAGTTCGATTGATAAAGTCACAATTCCAAACAGGCTTTACAGGGGCGTATTCCAGGGACCCCTAACTTTTTCAAGTTTTATATTCAAATTTGTTTGCCAGGTGCCATAATCATAAATTTTCTTACCTCAGCCCCAACCATGGTATAATCATAAATTTTCTTACCTCAGCCCCAACCATGGTGTGGATGAGGTAGTATAGAAACCACCCCCCCCCCTCTCCATCTGTGAAAGTCCTGCCCTTGACCCCTTATTTCAAATTCCTGGATCACCACTGCCTTAGTCATTAATACTACAGTGCACCCTCTAATTTAGAGACCCCTCTAATTGGAGACCACTTGAAAATGGAGGGCAAACTCTACTCATTGTGATACAGGTTGTAGAATTTTGTGTTCGAAATGATCTCAATATTTTCTAATCTGTCTATTTTACTTGTCTTTCAGTTCCATCATAATTATTTGCAAACTGTACCTACAACCAGTGCATCATTGGATACCATGTGTGGTAATTACGGCTCCGGTCAGATGTCAACAGAATCAACATAATGAATCTCTGCAGAGCGTTAATTATTAATGTATTTGCTATTAAATTAATATGAAGATGATCCGCATTGTTTATGCCAATTTTAGAATTCCTTAAGGAGCTTTCCAATAGCTGCTTGTAATGTCTGCATCCCAATGTGTGGAAGAATTTTAAACTGTAATTCAGTGTACCTTTCATTTAATGTTTTTAATTTTTCATATCTTGTTGGTAAGTAAAATCTGTCTTTTCATAAAATTTGGTTAATAACAAGATATCTGAAATCTAACTGCATTTTGGTGGGTGCAATTTATACCTAACCTTAGAATAAGCAATTTTAAGTTTTAGCTAGAGTTTGCCCTCCAATTGGACACCTAAATATTCAAAGTCACTTTTTTAGAGTACTGGTTACTGATGTATGGGTATTTATATTGCGCCTTTCCCTTGCGGTTATGAAGCGCAAGCCAAGCCTCAATGATTTAGGAAAACAGTGGCAGGCATAAAATTGGTCATCATTCACAAAGATTCAAGATTCAAAATAACTTTATTACAAACTTTGAAATTTGAAATGTACAGAATAATTAATAATAATATACAAATATATATGAAACATTTAAAATGCTCAATTAAAATTCATCTCAACATTAAAGTACAAAAAAAAAATTTTAAAAAAAAATCCACAAAAAGGAAAATGCAGAAGAAAGTGACAGTACTATCTTTTAACAAAAAGGTAACCTCCTAAATGGAGACCGAACCCTGAGACCACCCCACATGTTAAGGTCCCAATTTGGAGGGCAAACTGTTGTTTTGAGCCCACTTGTGACTTTGTGGCTGAACGGTGGGCTTGGAGCTATTAGTGGTATCAGACTAAAGCTGAAAATTGGGGGGGGGGTTGAAGGCATTTTTCTTTGTGGCCGAGGTCACGATTTATTGTAGAGTTCTAGTTCAAGATAGTTAATAAAAACTTTTGTTCCTGACAATTATGATCATAATAGAGTTTTTTTTTATAATCTGAAATGACAATAATAATAACAATATTTAATGTAAGAACCATATCATTAGGACTGGAATGCTATTTATATGGGAAAAAAATATAGGCTGACCAGATATTACAATGTATACATCTCCTTAAATTTACTATTTGGCAGAGCAGTCTGATAGAAAGTATACGATTTAATATATTACATTTCACCATTTTAGATTTATTTACTTGGACACATTTCCAACAATTGACATCTTTTGTATCTTACCTACACGTTACATCTGAAATGACAATGGAATAAAAATATCCAACGTAAGAACCACATCATTAACTGACTCTTATATTCTTCGAATCTATTAATTCAAATGCTGCATTAAACTAAAGCATATTTTGGATGGCCTATTTTGTTTTTCTGGCTAACTCCTGAATGTAATTACTGTATATGAAAACAAATGTACAATATTACAATGTATGCATCTCCTCAAACTTAACTTTAAGAACTGCAGTCTGTAAGATACAAAATGCAAGTTTAAATATTATTTTACCATTATAAACGTATTGCCACTATAAACGTATTGTTTATTTGGAAGTTACTTATGGAACTGAAAAGGCTCATGCCCGAAGCCTGAGTGAGGTATCTATAGAAAGTGGCGTATCTAGAAGTCTTGAAATGGGGATCTGATGGGGGCGAAGGTAAAGTGGCCGGTGGACCCCTCGATGATAAGTTGAGGGGCGCTAATTCGCAAAATATGGTGATTTTTAACTACTTGACAGTGATGATTTTTAACTACTTGACAGTGATTTTTTTTGGGGGGGGGGGTGCAAGTAATTTTTTTTGGCTGGGGGAGGGGGAACTGGCTTTAGGCACACATAAAACGTTCGAATAAACATTCGTTTATTCTTGTATTCAAGTAAAGTAATATCTGTTCCTAACAATTATACTGTAGTAGAGTTTATTTACTTCAACAACCTACATCTGTTTCAGCTGTACCACCAACACATTACATCTGAAATGAAAATAACAACAATATATAACATAAGAAAGTTATCTTTTTGGACTGGAATGCTATTATATGGATTATTTATTAATTAATTATTATTATTATTATTATTATCATTATTATTATTCTTATTTTATTCATTTTTTCTGGGAGCAGCACGTGTTTTGTTTAAATGTAGCCTAAGTTAAAAAAATATTTAAATGATTTTTAAACTATTGATATTGATTTATTATTTTTTTCTGGGAGCAGCACGTCGTCTCTAAGATGAAATGGCAATGGTTCCGCTTTTGCTGGTCCCTTTTTGTTATTTGGCTTGCCAGAATGAACAATATAAATATAGGCCCTAATTAAATAAAACAATACAGTAATAACAACGACTTTGTCAACTGTACAGTCATAAGTCCTTGTTAACAATAAAAATATAATCATAACCATTATATTATTATAATCACTATTATAATATACATAATAATAGTGTTTACAGTGACGAAAATGATTTTGTATAATAACCATAACAATTAGATAATAAATACACTGATAATAATAATTATTACAAAAGATAAATAATTAACCAAGTTATACATACTTTTCCCGACACTCGTAGGCCTATTTACTGTTCAACTTGAAATCCAATACAGTACAGTATTTCCATTTTGTCATTCCATGCTTACAATCGACTCGTTGCATAGCAACAAGCTTACTTTCAGAAAGTTACAAGTAAACGGACGCGCAGCAGACAAGCGCGTGCACGACAAAAAGCAAAGAATATTGAAAGTTAAATTGCAGTAGAAAACACACGGACTGTACTACACGTAAAAATATTGAAACCGATTAAAAAGGAAGGCAAGGAAAATAATGATCCATATAATATAAAAATACAATTTTATGGAATTAATACAAGGCATTTTGTTGTATGTACTTACACTTTTCCCAGCATGGCTTTAACACAAGAGGTTTTCCCGGAACCCTCTTGACCAAGAAACATCAGTCTTGAATTAACAACTGTTATTTCACCGTTTTTAAGTGCATCTTTGAATGCTTTGACGGCATCGGGACCCCTGGCTAAAATCTCTGATGGAGTTGATAGTTCTAATTTATATACAAACATAACAACCATATATTTAGTATTTTCTTTTTTAATTATATTTTTGATTATTTACGATGAAATAAACCTTTTTACGATAATCAAAATGTGGAAATAGTAAATTAATTGTATAGAATTTCAAATTAAAAAAAAATAAATGTCAAACGTAATACGGGTGTATGATAAGTACTGTTTTAAATAGAGTTTGAAGATTTGATTCCACAGATATTTAATAAGTCAATCAACGTACTTTCAAGTAATTCTTTTAAATCTTGTTTCTTTTTTCTTCTCGTGGTTTCGTCGTATTCTGTACATTCGTTTTCATCATACAAATCAAGAGGCGTCTTTCCCCGCTGCAATAACAGACACGAGCACGCGATGATTCATTTCATTGCAAGACAATTAAAAACCAAATAACAAGAAAACAGTGATATATTTTAGTTAAATACTCAAAGATAATAATAAAACTAATATATCTAACGAACACTCAACAATGTTATCATCACGACATTATAATTATGTTGTAAATTACCATCCAATTAATTGATAATAAACATTATTAAACTCATACTTCTAAAACTTTTTAAAAATCAACATTATTACTCGTATGATTTTTTTTTGTTTTCGATTTAATTTTGTTTGAATTTATATTTATTATGTTGGTTTTAATCAGTAAAAATGTTTCTAGTAGTTTTATATAAAGTTGTTGTATTAAGGCCATTGACTGATATTCTTTTGATGCATTTCTTTCTGTACATTACATTATCTTTTATTGTCACCGATGCGCCAGAGGTGATAATGAGAATTGCGGGTTCCTTGTGTTGCTCGTGCGTCAGCCTCCTCTGTAGACAGTAATGTAGTGGTGTTTGTCCAAACTGCAATGAAATGATAATCAAGAATGAAGTAGGTACCTGAATTAATGATGATGGTAATAAGTATTATGAAATTAATAATTATAGCATAATACAGAACCTGTACTGTATTAATATTAATGGTAATAGTATTGACAAAAATGTAGTAATGGATTGTGGTTTATTTTTGTTGTATTAATAAAACAAATAATAATGGTCAAGGTAGTCTCCCCTACTGAGCGGAAAATATTTCTCAACCAGTTGTAAATAAAAAATCACATCTCAGTATTATAACCAAGAATATTACTAAATTAGAACGTGATGTATTGAATGTGTTTGTGAGTGAATTAATGTTAATTTGCTAGCAATGAATAAAGTGTTGTTTTCTTCTACTGTAAAAAAAAAAAAAACATAAGAAAGTTATCTTTTTGGACTGGAATGCTATTATATGGAAATATAGGCCGACCAGATATTATGTATGCATCTCCTCAAATTTGAACAGCGGTCTATGATAGAAAGTGTAAGATTTAATATATATTTCACCATATAAACTTAATATTTACTTGGACACACTTCCAACAATCCACATCTTTTGCAGCTGTACCAACACGTCACATCTGAAATGACAGTAAAATAAAAATATAAGAACCTTATCATTATAACTGGAATGTAATTACGGTATATAAAAAACAAATATACCATATATTACAATGTAAGCGTCTCCTCAAACTTGCCTTTTAGAACAGCAGTCTGTATGACAAAATGCAAGATTTAAATATTATTTCACGAATATAAACGTATTATTTATTGGGAAGTTACTTATGGAACTGAAAAGAGCTAAGGCCAGGCTTGTGTGGATTAAGCGGTAGGAACGCATGAAACAGCAGCTTTTCTTCAATTCACGTTCGAATCATCATGACGTGACCCATCATGACCATATTTTGGCACGCACTTGCGTATAGTTGGGCTGAGGCGGAACATGATTATGGCACCTGATTGCCGGAAATGGCAATCTCGCATCTAAATTTTAACATTTTCTTTTTTTCTCCATTTTTAAAAATAATTTTGAAAAATATAGGCAGTATTACTATAGGCCGTAAAACAAAAAAAATAAATGAAAGGGATGTAATGAAGATGATTCAATACCGTAGATATCGGTGTAATATAGGTTTCTGGACAAAACGGCAAAAAAACAGAACGGCAATAAAGCAAAACGGCAACAGACCAAAACGGCAATGTCAACTACGAAAACGGCAATAGGCGTAGACCGAAACGGCGAAGGGGGCAAATCAATGCAAAGACTGAAGCGCCACCGTTTTTTTTTTTTTTTTTTTTTTTTTTTACTTATATATTCATTTCATTATTTTAAAGTCTTATTTATTATTACTATTATTATATTTCATGACACAAATTGTTTAGCCTCATATTACCTGTATTTTAAGGTTTTAATTATTTAAATGTTCACTGGTTTTATATTGTATTTATTATATTGTGTTCCCCCGATCTTTCTTACTATTGAATTTGTATGTTATATTATTGTTGTTATTATTATTATTACTATTATTATTATTATTATTATTATTATTATTATTATTATTATTATTATTATTATTATTATTATTAAATGTTTTTTTTTTCTTTCGCGATTTTTTACTTTTATGACATAAATTATTTAACCTCATTTTGTCTGTATTTTAAAGTTTTAATTATTTAAATTTTTACTGCTTTTAAGATATACTAAATAACTTCTAATGACGAACTATTGTCTTCAGTTGTCTTTGTTGGTCATTCAACTGTCATTTTATCTATTTTTTCGGTGATATTACCAATCTCAATAATCTATAAAACACCCACATAACAACGTCACGTTAGGTCGGTCGGTGGGGACTCCGTTGTGACGCCGGTAGGGTCAATTTTCGTCGGAGGTATCAAGATGATAAACAGTTTCATTGGACTCAATTCTTAACCACATGCTTACCTAAGATTATACTGACACTGGTTTCAAATCACGGTCAAGTAGTTAAAAATCGCCTAAAATCACCTTATTTTGCGAATTAGCGCCCTCAACTGATCATCGAGCCCCCTTCCCACTTCACCTTCGCGCCCCCCACCACCCCCATCAACCTCCCATTTCAAGACATCTAGATACGCCACTGATTTACATGGCCACATGAATGAAAATACTCAATCGATGTGTCACCAAATCGTAACCAGCCTTCACCATGCCCTCACGATGTAACCGGGGACGCAACTGCTAAAAGACTACTTTTTGTAGCGAAGGGACGCTACCAATAAACAATCAACAGACCACCGGGTTTCTGGGTTGATTTGCAATATACTACATGGCTCAACTATTTTTTAGTTAGTGGTTAATTGGTAGAAATCGCACAC